ACCAATTTAACAAACAGTTTTAACTAGACAAGAGCCTTTATCACTTTGATAGCCAATCCTATCCTCATAACACTCGCGTCAAACAAATCCCTATGACATGATTTATTTGATTGAAGACCAAATGTACAATTTGATCACGGGAGAACCAATAAATGTTCCACAAGTTGTAACATTACGAAAAGAAGCTCGGGTGCCATGTAGAGGTGGGCCAGCAAGTTGACCCGTTCGGTCTGGGATTGAGGTTGAAAACCTTAAGACTCGAGTCGGATCCAAGTTGATATCGGATGTGCACACCCGCGCGCGCACGCACACACAATGGATACACATACAATATATATATATATAATATTTTTTAAAGGATGCAGTTTGTATTTTTTAAAGGGTGTGGTTTGTATGGAGCCTAGGCTATGAATAATCAATTAGGCTTACTTTCAAATATTATCGAGAAATATAGTTTCAATACTGAAAATATTTGTGATAACTTTACAATATATTTTTATCTTTATTTGTAAAGTTTAAATCTTCAAAAACAGTATAGATGGACAGATCTATGAAAACTTGAAAATTGATGGTCTAAAAATGCGTTACAAAACACATTATTTTCAAAACTTGAAATCCATTTTTTCTCATGTCCATGCATCTTGATATCGAGATGATCAATGCAATGATTTCATGCACCGATTGTATAGTAATATGATGCAACAACCTTCAAAAACCATGTTATGGCCATTTGTTTGGTCAAATTTAGAAAATATACACTCTTTTCATTCTAATGAATAATCACAAAAAAAAAAAAAAAAACTTTGAAAACACGACTTAGAAAGTATTTTTTTAGCCCAATTAATATAGGCCGTTCATTTCGTGAAATGCTTAGATCTAGACCTTAGAATGATTTTTCCATTTGCAATTTTTTTGGATGGATTCATTATCATTAGATAAACAATGTTCAAAAATAAAAAAAATTATTTTGAGTTTATAAAGGCTAAGACCTTAAAATTCACAAAATGAATAAATGAAAGGTCTAGATTCGTTTTTGGAAGAGACTCGTTTTGATCATATCTAGGGTTCAAATTGAACTTTTGTTTTTTGGAGATTGATTATTTAGGTGAAGAGAGTGTGTGTGCAAAATTTTAGGTCATGCAAATACCACAAACATGATTTTCTAGAAGTGTCGTTGCATTATAATATGATACAACCGTTGCATGAAATCAATGCCCGATTAATGCAATGATTTCATGCAACAGCTCTAATTTTTTAAGATATTTGCAATGATTTCATGCAACAGCTCTAATTTTTTAAGATATTTGGGTATCAAAACAATGCCTTCTAATTAAATCTTTTAGGTAGGATCTAATTTAATTGTTTAGAGCCTCGACTCTATATAAACTTTCCTTTTTTTTAAACTATAATATATATATATATATATATGAAAAGGCTTTCCAACGCCTATAGGCAAAATTGAAAAGTGATTTCATCTACCCTCATCATCATCCAAATTTTATCGTGCGGTCACGATTGTCCAGTAGTGCTTTATTTTTCATTGTTTTTTTACAAATCAGAATGACCTTAAATTTAGAGGGTATGTACATCTTACTGAGGCGCATCTAATAAAAATATATAAAAAATTATCCGTAAAACTAAATTGATCAAAATACCCCTAAAGCGATTTGGAGGTATTTTGGTCAATTTTTTTTATGTAAGATATTTTTTATAATTTTCAAATATTCCCATATTTTTTATGAATACACACTTCAAATTTTATGTACATTCCGATTTGTAATATATATATATATATATATATATATATATATATATATATAGTAGATACTACTACTACTAGTCTACTAGTACGATATAGTATA